GAAAAATTAAACACATTAGGGGTAATGAACAACAACAACTGACAACATAAACATAACATTACAACCAACGAAATGATTACAAAAATTCACTTAGTATGCAAGCTTCCGCCCTCCTCATGGAATTGCACACTCGTTGAAATATCCCTGGAGTGTTTTTTATTCTATTACAAGCTGCAACTATTCTTTCTCTTAATTTCTCTACAGTGTTAATGGGACTTGTGTACACTAGTGTCTTAGGATAGCCCCACTAAAAGAAATCTAAACTGTTGAGGTCTGGGGACCTTGGTGGCCATTCTTGGGGCCCACCGCGGCCAATCCAACGATTTGGATAAACAGTTTGTAAATAATTACGAACCGCTACACTGAAATGCGCTGGTGCACCATCATGCATGTACCACATATTGTTTCTTATTACTAACGGAACATCATCAACCAGCTAAGGCAACTGCTGTTGAAGAAAATTGAGGTAAGTCTGTCCGTCAAGTCGTCCCGGCAAGAAGAATGGGCCAATAAAGTGGTTGCCAATAATTCCTGTCCATACGTTAACCGAAAATTGATGTTGGAAATGGGTTTCGGTTACGGCATAGGGATTTCCTTCTGCCCAGAAATGATTATTGTGGAAATTCTGAATGGCATTTCGAGAAAAGTTGGCTTCGTCCGTGAACAGAATCATTGAATCCATTTTTTGAAGATACCATAGACAAAGGGTCATACGCCTTGGAAAATCAATGGGAACAAAAAAACCACTAAAATTTTCCAAACAATTTGATGGCAAATATTTATGCTGTCTACCTTCCAATGTTCCTTTTCGGACAGAACCAGTTTCAACAAGACGACGATGAATATTAGAAAACGTTCGACTATCTGGCAAAGCACGATCTTGATATTTCTGATCATAAATCCGTTTGACTTGCTCACCATTACCGTCGGCAAGGCCATATACGCAATACATTTCCGCCATTTCTGCATTTGAATAATTCACCATTATTAACAAGATTGTTAAGTAATGAAAAAGATGTCACAGCGAACAGATTTGAATGACAGAGACTTGTCAGATGTCAAAAGCCCGTGACATATTCCAGAGCAACTAGGTATTTATTGCTAAATTGCATTCTTCGATTACTTACTACATTAATTTTCTCGGACAATAGAGCGGTTTTTATTTTTTTACTCAAAATGGCGCATCGAAGGAAAACAATTCAAGAGAGATTATTTGTTTTGAATTGAACGGGGAATTCAAAAATAATTTTTATTTGGCAAACAACTGTTGGCGTACTATCTTTTTCTTGAAAAATATTGTCAATACCTGTACGCACGCCACTGTTACAGCTAAACATTATTTTTGCATTGAAAAATATGCAACCTCATTACCTTCCACTACGTACTAAGTATCAGTGGAATATCTGAAGCGGTTCTGAAAATATTAATTAAGTCCCATTTTTTTTCCTAAAACTTCAACACCCCGAGTTTTTGCAAGGAAACATTTTGGACCATAGTTTATAGAGCAAACTAACATTAATTTTTCATGTAGATTCACACCCTTAAATATTCGCATATCATTAAGGAACACCCTGTATATACAACAAACATCTATAATGAATATTTTATGAATATATAAGAAATATATTTATTAAACATTAAAAAATATGTCGCTAAGTATTTAATGCTATCGGGGTACATCACAGGTCGGACAAGTTATATCTTTAATCTTTGCCATTATATTTAATAACGTAGCAGTCACCATACGAGAGATATTCAAAAATCTTCTGTGATGACTCAGTCATAGTACCTCGTGGGCAAGCAGTTTTTTTTTCGTTATTTCTATGTTTTTCTTGTGAATGTTTGAACGCTATTATCTTAAAATCTCTGTACCCACTATGCGCCTATGAAAAGTAATTTTATAAAAGCTGATTCGCAGAAACATCTTGAAGTAATTTCATCATAAATGGGTGGAGGATGAATTTGCTTAGAATTATTTTCTTATTAGGTACTTGCGGTTCTCAAAATATTGTAAGTTTGAAAAACCCGGCTCTCAGCTGATGGAGGAAGGGTGGCTCAAAATTTAGACGTAAAAGGCGGAAGTGCATGCCAAGATCTTTGCTGCCAACTCCACCATGGACGACCTGCCCAAGGCACAAATGCCGTCTATTCAAAATGCGAAAAGTAACATTTGGGCATAAGACATAAGACCGTAAGACGGGTGCTTTTGTTGCTCGACATTAACAAAGCTTCTTGTCCGGAGTTGATTCCGGACATTGTATTGAAAAGGTGTGCAGCGGAGCTTGTCCCAGTTCATTCGCGTCTCTTCCAGATAGCTTACGAATCCAGCAAATTGGCAGAAAACTGGAAAATTGCTCATGTCCAACACATCTTAAAAAAAGGATCTAAGACCAACCCCTACAACTACAGATCTATAGCTTTGCTTGCTGTTATAAGTAAGGTGAAGGAGAGGCTTCTGGACTACCTCTAACATCTCGGCTTGATTAGTGACAGGCAGTATGGTTTATGGCACCAGAGATCCACAGGGGGGTTCTTCTCTTTATCCCACAACGTCAACGCGGATATTTTCCAGGGATCGGTCTTGGCTCCGACATTGTTCCTCTTAAATGTCAACAACCCAATTTCCTGTACGATCAACCCAATCCACAGCTTTGCTTATATCAGTAGGTACTCTACAAGCATGAATTCAGACCGATAAGCTGATCTCTGCCGGTCAGCTGGAAAAAGAAGACTAGCGGCGACTTACTCTCTAACGAGAGACCTGGAGGTTAGCACTGGTTGGGGATGCAACAATCTTGTACAGTTTAATGCTTCTAAAACACAGTACTGTCGTAAATCATCAAATTACATCTTGGTAATGGGATGATTTACGACTTATGTTCATATAAGCTTTTTATGTTGTTTTTTAGATGTAATTTATAATCTAATAAAAATCCCATATTACATAATTACTTTTAGTATGAAGTAAGCCAGAACAATGAAATGAAAATGCAGCGTTTTTAAGACCATTTTATTGGCTGAGGCATTTGTTGTACATTTATAATATTCAGATTTACTGTTATACTCGTAATATTATAGGTATCAGGATAGATAGTAGTTACCCCATACTCTTAGAGATGTCGCCAGCGGACACTCTCTCACCACCATCATCATCATCAACGTCATCATATGCATCCTAACGGCAATCAATCTCTCGTTTGTATGAGTCCGTATTACGCATATTTTACACTTTATAATAATGCTTAAATAGTAAAATATAGTCATTTACACGCATATTGTATCCGAAATGCCACCGTCTCCGCCATATTGTATCGCTCCTTACTCGTTTCACGTTAGCCCCAAATCCAAGATGGCGGCGACGAGGCTGACGTGACGACTTCGGCGCCCGTCGACAGCCAAAATGGCGACAGGCCCACATTCTGGAAAAACTACTAACATCGGTTAACAAATTTTAGTTATAAAAATATTTAGGCCGTCGTTTTTAATCCCTGGCTGCCCGACGAGCGGCATCGGGATCGAAACGTCATGTATTTGGGTCAGAGGATGGAGGAATGAGAGGAAAAATGGAAAGGAGATAGGGCGTGAGGTGGTGACAACAATTTTCTAACTACTGTGCTACTGCACGACATTGCATCTCAACCAACAAACATCAACGTGCTTGAAAAAGCCTGACGACGATCAGTTCGAGACGAAGCGTCGTGCTTGATTTGTGCGTTTCGTGCATTGTGACATTTATAATGAAATACTACTATAATTTAAAGATATCAGTGCAGTTTTGTTATACAAACATTTATATGAACAATTATATTTCAAAACTAAACATGTAAAAAATAAATATATTTATATTTCATTAGTAAATACTCCCTTTTAGACATTTTATTTTAAATACTATGAATGTGCAGATGTTTTCGGGTTTTTTGGGGATTTGACTCCTGAAAACGCTAACAAAAGCACTTAAATACCTAAATCAATTATTTTAAAAATATAATATTTACTGGCAAAGGATCTATAACGTTCAATGGATTTTCCTTATCAAAGTGATTGTGTCTCTTAGTATTAGAACGTCATGGATCCCTATCTGCCTATGAATTATTGCATCAAATTACATCTGATATTAGGACATTATTACTATCGGTTGCAAAGAAACCATATCTGATAGTGGCATTAAGGCATGGGACTTAAATAAGCGAGACGTATAGTATAAAGTGGCGAAAGTGCTAACACTCAAATTCACAAGGCGCAAAAGTAAATTCATTCTGGGTTGTCATCAGTGGAGCTAAAAATTCATGAAGGCTACAGCTTGCTCTATTTTGCGTTATTCTTGGGTCAACCACTATGAAATAGTAAAACTGTAAACACCATAATATATCCATAAGAGCAGCATGCGCATCACCAACAGAGATCAAGATAGGCTCGTCAAACATCATGAATATTCACATCCGCCATTCTTGTCTCTGTGGGCTCTTAGTACCTTTGATCAAATATTAGCAAAACTAGATGTTCGGATGTCATTTTATTTCCACCAAATTTAGTGTTATTTTGAACACCCTGAATTTTCTCAGAATCCAAACACAGTTCGCAAATTTGTAATCTAGCAATTATGACTGCAAGAGTTCCAGTTTTTGGCTCATATTGGTTTTGATGTCTCATTCATCATAAGTCCCCTACATCATTTTGCCACTAGTGTTATGACTAGAAATTGACTAGAAACGTAACTCCTGGTTTTGAGGAGTCTACCTCTTATTTTCGTCTTTTTTGAATAGGTGATAAAATATTACTTTGGAAACACTGTTTATATTCCTTGTGTGGCAGAAAATTTATAAATATATATATCTATTAAGTATATATATATCACATTGAAATATTCTCGAGTGAGCTGACTTCATACATCTTCTCCAAGCGTTACTTGCTAAACCTGACAGATGGAAGCCAGATATATATATATATATCTCTTATTGGAGTAGTGTTTTTTGAATCCACCTTTTCTTCTACCTTGTCTCTCATGTAAACATGACATATATTGGTTCTTGAATATAGCTGCTAAACACCTGATTAGACGTCTACCTTTAACTTAAGCTGGAAATTAAATCAGAATATCAATACTCCAAGGTGCTTTAAGGCGGCAAGATGTACCCTTACCCGAAAATCTTATGAAACTATATGCAGATATAGCAAAGAAAATCATAACTCTCAGGTATCAGATCTGAGCAAGTAAAGCTTGAATAAATTGAAAAAACTACAAAAAATGGTGCAAGTAGTGTCGAAGTGCTTGTGCAATTTATTAAATCTACGTTGTAGGTTAGGTTTGCCAGCTAAGAAAAAGGGTAGATTGTGGTAAGTGTAAAATATAGATAAAATTTGGTTATAGAGGTCTAGCCAATAGATGTAGGTTTGAATAGGAATTGATATCAGAGTTGTGTTTTTGGTTATATGTATAAATAGCCTTTCTACAAAAACCAGTTGCATGGCGTATAGCGACATGAACTTTAGAAATGCTTCGAATTTCTTTTTCAAACCATCTACATTTTCGATTCTGAAACGACAGTCGTTAAATCACTTTCTGAAAAAGGCTAGGATGTATTCTTGAACTTAAAGTTGCATAGGACATACATATTATTGCAACTCGCTCTATGCAACATGATTTGCAGTGGGTACCTCATGCTTTATAAGTCAGGCAACATAAAATTTCAACAAAGGTATCATCCAATGCACTTATTCTAAATCTTGATATGCTCAAAAATTATTGAAATCCATAAACTTAACATATATATTGCTTATCAATCGTTTAACTCTATATGGCAAATATAAGATCTCAAAAAGAAATAATGAAGAATTACATTTTCTACCCTCTTTCTTGCTTATGTTCAAAGGAAGGATACGGGATAGGAATGTGACCCTGAGAATACTAACCAAAGTCTTTTTTGTGTATTTTTATCAAAAGAAACGTCTCATTTTTGGGTCTGGTTTTTAGTCTCTCCCTTGTGTCGATTGAAAGATATTGTGACTCTAAACGATAGTGAATCAATTCAATAGTGCACTGAGAAATGAGACAAATTTTAAGAGGTTCTAAACCATCATGACATGAATCTGCAGATAACACGCCTGCATGAAGTTAGTTTTGAAGCCAGAATCGAAAGACACTAAAGTAGAGGTTACATCCCTCAAATATTGACATTAGTAACATTAAATAACATTGAGAAAACTATTAATTTGTATAATCTAGCTATTCAAACCTATTTTTATGCAAACGTACTAAATAGCGGTAATTTGAGCTCAAAACTACAGTGATCTCCTGAGAAACCCTGTGAATACTGAGTCAAAATTTTTGTACAAATCTCAATGGTGTACTAGTGAATCAACATTGGAGATTATTTTTCGTACCAAAAGTGATCACAGAACGTTTGTATGTGGTGCAGTGATATACTCCTCTAAGTGTCCGATACTAACTAGAAAGAACTGTATTCTCTTAATGTCGAAATTAAACATTTATCAACTTCGATATCATTGATTTTAGCGTTCCGCGGAACAAATCTCCTTCAGGAGTTATCTAATAAAACAAGTAGAAAGATTAGTACAGTACTCCGTATTCCAGGTTATTGACTTTTCACATGGCTCCTTGTTTTCGAATCCGACCGAAAACCCGGATATCAGAGGCGCGCGGAAATTTTCTGTAAACACTTCAAAGTCCGATTTTACTAAAGAATTCCTTTCAACCTATATTTGAACCTTGCTGATGTAGATATAATATATAATAGAATACAATTAAAGATAATATATATAGGGTCGAAAACATGAAATGGAAGTACAAGCCATGAAAATATGAGCTATATTATTGTTTTTTTTATCAACTTCTGGCATTATCTCCAAATTATAAAAATCAGTTTTTCATTGGCACTGATGAAGTTTTATGACAAAGCATTTACATCTGGGTTTATACCCAACTTAAGTGTCAACATTTGTTTCGTGGAGAATTAAACTATAATTTAATTTGCCAAATATACTGGCATCTTAAAATCCGATACAGATGATTAATGAACATTTCCAACAAATGCATTTATTGTGAGCCGTACTTTCGAGAAATCTTTAGAAAAGCCCTGGTGATAAAGGTTGTAACAAATCTTAGGGAAAATGAAGGAGAAAAGCTCAAACTCATTTTCCAACAAATTATAAAAGTAAATTCATCCTGAGACCATGTCATAAGTATAAATATAAATTCAATTCAAAAATATTAGAAATTTGTATGCCTTTCTTACTCAATAAATGCAATTGCAGCAATAAGGGTTAAACCTGAAAAACGTCTAAATAATTATTCGAAATATCTAAAGCAAATAAAATATGCATTGAGTTATTATGAGTGTTGGCTTATGCCATTAATCAAAACTTAAAACTTCCTTATTATTATTTTGAACATATGAGCCCTTTTCCAGCTATAATTTGAAGCTTTGCAAAAAAGTTAAACCACAATTAGAAATACTGATATGTCTTTCCGTGTAACGTTGATCAGATTTCTTTGACCTGTTCAAAAAGGAATTGGAATCACCATACAAATGTATTGTTTCCTAGCGAATATCTTGGAAACTTTTCATGGAGCGCCTCTGGAATTCGAAATCAGGACAGCAACCGTAAACAGCCTTGTACGTAGCTGCGCTGCTCTGTCCTTATTTACATGGGTTCTATTGGGAAAGTTTTCCTGGAATATCGAGATTTTATGGTAACCTATAAATACTGCCCAAGAATCTTTTATATACATCTTACATTACTATACTTAGGTACTTATTACTTAGAGATGTTCCTTAAAATATAGATATTAGGCTCCCCATGAAATTTTAGGGAGGTTTGGAATTTATTTGCTATCGAGAAAATTCATAGTCATAGTCTAGATGACAGAGCTTCACTAGGAGACCTCATTTTAATTTGACAGAACAAAAATTTGTCGTAAATCTGTTTCAAGTAGGCCATAGATGGAGGGCAGCTCTACTTACAAAAAAATATCTTTAGATAACTAATTTTTAACTTGTGGCGTACTTTTCCATCTTTATGCGAGCCCATGATTGAATCTAAGACTCGCAAAATATGGGGAACGATTCTGGGCCACCAATAAAAGTGTCTATCGCTTAGGCTACAGAATAAATGTTTGGCTTTGTCACAATATCTTTCAAGTACAATCCTCTTCCTACAGATTTAACTTGTAGAAATAGGCCGATCTTCGTTACAACAGTGTATATTCAAATATACGATTTTTATAGGATATCTTTCAGTACTAACTAATATTTGGAACGCAAAATTCAGACTTTGTATGTTCCTAAATAAAGATTGTGTACAAAACTTCGTGCAGCAAAACCTACATTTCGACCCACGCCTTTACTCTGACAACAAAAACGATTATTGCCTGGAACTATACTATTATTTGTAGCTATACTACTCATTGTATCTGATTCAGTGACAGTACAAAGCTTGATATACAAAAACATGTTATCCACAATGATGGGATTGAAAATGTTCTGCGAAAATAACTTTCTGCACTATAGTGCTATAAAACCATCTCGTATGTGATTATACTTTTCAAAAATACCAGTTTCATACAAAATAATGTTATATCTCTGACATGCGTGGAAGCGTTTTTGTCTCCGGCTCATCCCTGTGTGAAACATAATAAGAGTAACCAAATGAAAACCATTTTCTGAAATATCTCCAGCTACACTAATTCCAGTTTTTAGCTGTCGGTTGGCTCAAGATGACTAATAGTCATCATCCGATACCAAAAACTGGTTAAGGTAATCATATTTTGGATATCTAAGTTCCCTTGTTTGAGTAGTTGAATTAGGTGTTCAGTTTCGATTTCAGTTAATGATCCTTATGCATTTAAAAGATAGCATTACTACATATATTTTATTGAACTTATTTGATAGGAAACATCAAATGCACCAGCTTTCTTTATATATTTGTGTCAGAACAACAAAAACGACAAGGTTCAGTGGAGAAGATCCTTTTCTAGCGCCTATTCATACAGTTATTAGGTGTACGGCGTATAAGTTACCAGAAGTTGAAAAGAGATCTGGAATTTATTACATAAGGAAACAAATTTTCTGATCGATTGTCGACAATTAAAGCTTTTCATAATTCAACTATTCTGGTTGCTGAAAACTTTGAATCGATTGTTAAAGTAGCTGCTATTTTTCAGAAAATGGTCCAGCCTCTTACTGGATATTCTCACCATGTGCACTACCACTGTTGTCACAACTTTATCCTTCAATGGTGCAAATATAACTGTACATCAAAAGCATTAGATTTTTAATAAATATATAATTATATGACGCCACATCTATTATATAAATATAACAGCTATTTTTTTGGTATTTTTTCAATATTTCAACGACATATCTAACAGTGCAGAAAAGTGGGTACATTCTGACAACAGTGAAATACCTGTCAATGTTCTTCGTACCAAAGTTGTTAGTCGAAATGTGGTTGTGATCTTAACATACCTAATTTAGAATATTAACAACTTTTAACAGTAATATAATCGATAACGCATATAAAGTTAACGCATCTTCATTTTAACAATTTGATTGGAGTCTGCAAGTCTCGGTTGTTAGACAACAAAAATCAGAAAAAGGATAGACGTCTAACGACCGCCACTGTCTATTTGTTATGGAGAATCATACTTTTATCAGAAGGAAACAAAAGTTTCATTCACACTACAAAGCACCAATTTCTATTATGGTAAGGATAATGGAAAATCAACATATCTAACTTTCAAAAATGTATACTACATTTTATAAACGCAAAGGAAAATGATAGATCAGAAAAGTGCTTTGTTCTTTTCTCACTTATAACGTCCTTTCTTGGAACTGCTGGAAGGACTCTGATCATGTTTTTCTTTTATATGAATGATGGCATAGTGGCCGAATCATTATTACGGGAGAGTAAGAGATCCAGTTTTAAGGCATTTTGCATAACACATGTCAATCAGCTGCTATCTATACTCATCTTCACCAGGGTGATCAGTAAATGATGCACAATAAAAGATGTTGGATTAAGCTCGTAAAAATAATGTTATTGGGCCAAATATCGTCTTAGTAGAATGTCGCTCTTTTTTCCCTTAAAAATCAAGCTGCTTTTGTGATATCAACATGAAAACTGCGAAGCGGGGGCTTAAGATGATGGGGGTGTTCTACTATTGTTTCACTTTCAAGATATTTGTATTCCAACGTACACAGATAAATGGCTGGCACAAGAATAGTTCTTCAGAGTGGAATATGTTGTGGATGAAGTATAAACGTAGTAGATAATACCCTACGCATATTGATGTTGCAAAATATCCATAACAGTGTCATTTCATATCGATTATGTCTTTGAGCCAGCCATTTGGCTGTGTAATAGATGGAGAAACGCGAATATCTCGAAAAAGATTTGGTTCAATGGAAATAAACGTACATTTTTCACTTAATAATAATCATCACTCTGTGAGTTTTCATGAAACAAGGAAACAGCACTATAAAAAAGTTATGACTTATAATACACAGGTAAGTAACTAGCGCAATTCACATTCTTGCATATAAAATCATTATTCCTCGCCCGTAGGAGCACAATACTCCAAATTTTTATGTTGATATCGTAAAAGGAGCATCAGTTATAGAGAAATAAGGATTATGAAAATTAAACTTCACACAATTAATAAGCGATATTTTACTAAGGCCTATTTGGATAATATAATCATTTATGCAGGTTTGATTAAGAATTTTTTGCCCATTCATTGTTATCACTCAGTTCATTATCACCATCAAATTTTTAAAATTTGGAATAAGGAAATGTGGTCTTCAAAAAATATATGTATAAAGTCCAGCACTTTTTAGTTTGTTGTGAATAATTTGACTACCTTCTGAAAATTTTAATGTGCAACTTTTTCTATTGAAGACTATTTATTCCAGTTACAGATATCAAAATTCTGACTGCTTCTGAAAACACCCGACGGTATACCTTGGAAGTAGATGTCAATTTTCGCCCACAAAATAATTCTTAAAATTGGATCGCCGCGACATTTTTCATCATAATATATTTCAAAAGAGGATGCATGCAGAAAGTCCTGTTGAGTCCAATTTCGTACTGATACGTTGATTTCCCATCAAAGAAAAAACAATATTTGAGTTAAGGCCTTCTTCCTCTAATCTGGGAGAGGTGTATTCTAATCCACAAGTCGAATGGAATATGGAATGGTAATGGAAATTTCTACCGGGATTGGAGGTGCTGCAGAACAGGTAGTCAGGTCATCAACGGGACCTGAGTCCGTCAGAGTGACTGAGTCGGTAGCCTCCTCCGGAGAAGTCTTTTTGCTCTCTGAAACATTGACGTGTAGAAGAGACTCGAGCAATTTCCCTTTCGTTATTTTCGTGCCGGATTGGGATACTCAGTTGTGCCGTAAAAGCATCATGTAGGGAAGATGGAGAATTGTGAGACGTGGTAAAGTTCGGAAAAATAAAAAAGAGTGAAACAAAATGCCCTAAAAATCAATGTCAAGTAGGAACCGGGAGAAGATGCTGGTGACAGCTGTCAGGTGAATAATAAAAAATAAAATATATACTTTTGAATCTAAGTATTAATATTGACGTCATATGATAATATTTCAAGTACCTTGATTTCACTTTTCATTCACATACCCATATTGTAAATCTTTTATATCTTGATAATTGATGATATCTGCTACCACTTATTCCCGGTTTAAGGATGGTTTTTGAGACGTCCTGCACAAACAGATTACATGTATTCATGTAGTATCACAGAATGTAATGACATGGTTTAAATATGCCAGTTAGACAAAAAGTTTAATTGCAGAACTGGATTAGACCTTATCTCATACTACGATTATCCAATATTTTTAACATTTTGGGGAGGTGTACCTGAGCTCCAAATTTTTCAAATCCGGTTTTGAAGAAGCGCCATGATTATATGGATATTAGAAGCTCTTCCTTCCTAGTAAGTAGTGGTCAGCTGTCAAGGTTTTACAACGATGTTAGAAATGAGATGTTGCTCAATTTATTTTGAATTCTGTGTAATAAGCAATATACTATTTTCAGCATTCTCTTATATAGGATTTTTTTGTACTCACTTTTTTTGCGTGGACTTTGTGGCAAACACATACCACCTTCCAGCCTGACTGACGTATGAGCAATTTTAACTATTTATGTAATTAAAACAAATTTGTTGTTATAACCGACCAATACCATTATTTTCTTATGTCTTGCATTTGACAGAACAGTGTCGGTCAAACAAAGAAAAAGTAATTAAGATACAAATTTACTGTTATATCGAATTATGGTGCCTTATGATATTGGAGATACATCTGCATCGTGACTCGATAGGCGCTTGTTTAGAAACGCGTGGAAATCATAGCATGTTCTTGAAATCTGATCCAGCTTTTAGTCTAGCCATATAAAAATGGTCTTGGAAAGATGATAAAAAACCACGGTAGGATCCCGCCAACGATTTCATATATTTACTGTCGGAATGATGTGAATGAAAATCAAAGGTGAGATGAGAGAATGAATTTAATGTTATGAGTCAGTTTGTAATTTGTATGATTGTCGATAAGACTGCTCGAAGTACACCGTGGTCAATTAATGTTAAAGTAACTCATTGGGTATGAGCAAGAAGAACAAGATGAAGAAGAATATAATATATAATATAACAGTTGAATATGAGTTATTGTAGGATTGTCGATTTGATGTACATAATGACGCAGTGGCAAATCCAGAATTGGGAGCCTAGTCAGTGGATTTCGAGAAGTAGGATGATCCGTAAATCGGAGTTAAGCTCCCAGAGCCCCTCTGGATCGGCAACTGTAAAGACATTAAATGAAGGGACAGCTTGTCGAGTATGGGGGAGGAAAGGAAAGGTATGAACCAGAAATAAAATGAAAATTTATTTTAAGGATTGTCGATGAGATTGCTCGAGTCCTTCAGCAGGTCGTGATGGTAAGCGTGGACGCGGTGTGCGATCCCTTTGATCGTCCCCCCTCCATTGAAGAGATGGGAGGACAGAAGGGAAAGGAGCTGAAGGGTGCTTAGCGGCCACGCGCCCACCGTAGTAATGCGTCGGCCAGCACGTCCAGATGCGCTTTCGTCTGAAACAAAAAAACATTTTATGTATGTAGGATAATCTCTTAGAATTTTGGTGTGTCACTACTTGAGCAACGCTGTTCGTTTATTCATTAAACTGATTATTATCATCAATTAACTAGAAAATATGTAGCTAGAGTCATATTACTTCATACAATATTTGAATGATATATGATTCTTCATTCTGATTCTGATTCTTATTTAATAAATCTTGATCACATCTATACCTAGCATGGTTATATTTATAAATCTAGCTTATATTTATACCAAGAACCCTATTAGCGGACAGTAACGAGTTTCATTTTTTTGTGGCGCGACTATACAACGCAATGCGGGTAGATCGGTTGGAAAGAGTGGAGGAAACCCTCAGCTTTCCAATGATGTTCTTGCCTGTTGCTTCCAAGCTCTTCGAGTGCGCGGACATCGCTTTTTAAAAGCCCCTGTTTTATAACCGTGGAAGTTACGATGAAGAAAGCTTTGGAGCAAAGATCCGCGCGAAACTAAACAAAACACGAGAGTATTTGCTGCATACAGCCTTCGAGGTGATACATTTTACGAAGAAGTGCTTTGAAGACTGAACCACAAACTCGCCTGTGTCAGTAGAGAAATTCGGTCGTTATGGAAACTACTACTACAACGCGTCGTCCCACACAGCCTTTGTCCCCGCCGCTTACCTGACCCGGATCAGTGTGACAGCGATGTCCCAGCCACCGTGCAGTCCCGATCTGGCTTCACCGGATATCTCTTTATTCTTCTGACTAAAAAGGGACCTCAAGGAAAAGCATCTGGACACCCTGGACAACTTTCAAGCTACTTCGACGACCTCCCTAAACAGGATCCCGGGCAAGGAGCACCAGGGAGCGTAGTCGGCTTAGAGATCATGCTGACACGAGTGCATCAATGCAGAAGGTTGCTATTTTAAAGTATGTTATAAGGAGTTTCTGTACTTTATCCGTCAATAAATTTCATAGAAAGACTCATTACTTTCTGGACAAACCCTTTACACAGAATAAAATGAATCTGGAAACCATGTTAGTGATTACAGGTGTCCTGGACACCATTGCGAGAATATTGTGCGATTTGTTTGAATGAAAGGTTTAAGAATCCTATTTTTTGAAATTTTCAAAGCTTTCTCACGAGCGCTTTCTTGAAATTGTGATGAAATTTGTATCTCTTCCGATCCTTTTGATTTAGATCATTACTAATTTATAGATTTATGAAAACAGGAGTTCTAAAACCTATCTACCATCCCCTAGCAGATTGGATTTTAGGGTCCTACGCAGAATACTACACAAAACAGTTTAGTTTCGAAGCGCAATCTTGTTCATATGAAAAAAAAATTAATGGTAAGTTACAAGAAGAAATCTCGAATTGAGAGAGTGGCAATGACAACATACCATTTATTTTGAAATCTTATCTCAAATAAAGTCAGAGAAACAATTAAAATCATTTTGGGATGAATCCTAAATAAGCTACTTTGTCTCAATCTAAGTGGTCCGAGATCGCAATGGTGAGGGTCGAATTTGAAACACCAGGTATATTAAAAAAACAAACGTCTATGGCAACCGATGTTAGTTGATTATGAAGACCTATCTTTTTCAATTTAATTAAAACAGGTAAAAAACTTTCTGATCTCAGAGATAATAAAGACTTTATTCTATGCTCTTTTCCCAAAGGCACACCATACGTGACATGTATACATTTGTATGTATGTATATTTATCTTTGCATGAATGTCTCCTAGAAACAGACGGTAGGTTAGTCAAACATACAAGGAAAGGGTGGCTTATATCTATAAATATCATACGACAATGCAATGGACATAATGAATTCTTAAACCTGTTTTTTCCTGAAATTATCTATCCCATGTAAGTAGAGACATTGTTATTTCCAATAAAATGCCCAGTAATTGTTGTCAAACCCTTATCAAATTTGACCCATGGTTAAGATTGGTCAAAGTTGCTAGTAGTGAATTCTGGGATCAAATAAAGTTAGATTTGGTATGGTAGCTAAATTAAGTGAGTTATGAAGAATTTAGGGATTTAATATGAGATAAGACGCTCATCTTACAAAACCTGTATAATTTTCCGCTACTACGAGGAATATTTTGAAAGAAGTCACTATTAAAATGCGTTATGATTGGTAGATTTTCCTCCCTGGAGCAAATTATTCTTCTCATATAGTAAAATCAGTCTGTAGTTTTTCATTATATATTTGAAATGAAAAGTACTGCAACCATGCGCTCATACAAAAATAGTGAGTTAAATATTCGAAAATAGGTGAATTTTGGAGAGAATTGTGAATACTGAGCAACCAAATACTAAAATAAATTGAAAAATCTCTATAAAAGTTTGTCAAATCTATGTTATGAATTTTTAAATGCAAAACTTTCATAGAAGCGACAAACTTTCAGTTAAATTCAGGGCCGAAAACCTTGCTTAGAGATGCTGATACTTTACACTCCATATAGAAAGCTTGAGTTTTGCATAAGTATATTATTGGAGCACCAGTGTGAGCAGTACGAATGTACTGGATTATTGATAGATCAATAGATGACATCATAATGGAAATTCCCTTTTACAGTACCTGATTAGCCTTAATTGGATATTATAACGCTAACTTTTTTGTTTCATTCATTTTTTAGATGATTGCTCGGTTGGGTTCTCACATCAACGTATGGTGAAATTCCTTATAAAAGGGAAGTTCTTATAAGTACTTGACTAATTTTCAGTTAGGTCTTTGTTACGGAAAGATTGCCTTATTGGTTTTCTCACTTTTAACAGCTCGCTCTGCTAACTCTTGTTTAAGTTCGCGCAAAGTGTGAGCTTTTTTTATACAGGAGGGGGCTCGCATTTTCTAGAAAGCGCTTAATTGACCTTTAATTGGCTGTTCATTATAACGTAACTATTTTTGTTCTGTACATCTCCCGCGGTTAACTGTTCTATATTAACAAAACATGAGCATTGGCATGAATAGTGCATCGCTTCATAAGCTCTCAACAACGAGATGCGATGTTCTCAGTTTTGCTTTTATTTCGAATAACTCCACAGAATACAGAAGAAGAGACAGAAAGAAAATTCTGTGTTTGAAGAAAACTGTTTTGAGCTGACAATCTTGCAATAATGATGACTTTACTCCTGGTATGTCATCACCGAAGTTATGACTGACATCGATAGGACGTCTGTGGTAAATGCTAGATTACGGTACCTAAAATTTTCCTCAAAGTATAATTCAAGAAACATTTTGTTTCTGTTGGAATACTGCCGGAAGGTTTTAGAAATATGAATTATCGACTTTCAGAAAGATGTGTTCTAGGCAGAAGAAAACTAGTAGCAAATTTGTTCTTACTGATTTCGAAGGCGCTTATTGAACTATTTCTTAACTGTGTAGCTTACTTAAACTTATGCACCGAATGTAGCTGTATTGAGTTTACCTAGTCAAGGTGAACGTGTTAACTTATTTCTGATTAATATGTGTACTGATTTCGTGAGCCATTATATATTATTCAAAATTTAAAGGTATATTTAGATACGATATTTGAAAGAAGAATATATATTTTGTAATGTTAATAAGATTCAAGTATAACTTGGAATTCCTCCTTACTGACTAAGAACATACGTTGATCAGGCGCTTTCCTGATCGAATATTTTGTATTACTATTTTGTATTATCATCTTAACTGAACATTGTACTGTAAATGTAGTTTTCAAATCTATACGTGCCTTTGGCCTCAATGACCTAATCGAAATAAAATAACGTAATTCTGTTTTATCACACGCACACCTATCAGCTCCATTATTTACTCCTTTCTTGAGGGTAGTAAGCTTGATTCATTTGGATAAGTTGTCTTAAGCCTGACATCCGGTTTACTAAAAGCAAGTTAATCAGTATTCCAATTCATTACTGCTAGACTATTAATTAAATGATTGAAAAATACACTAAGGGCAAATGAATCTTCCAGAAAAGTTGCTTATTCGGCTGCGTTTTTTCAGCGTATGCGCTGGCGGTGGGAAATTCACCTGATTCTGCCCTGCTATCCCCCAATATTTGTTAGTCCTTATTCGCTAAGTCAAAATAATAAAAGTAAGATTATATAACCTTCACAAATAAACGTGTGAACGGTCATGGTCTCTAGGGCGTACGTAACCATCGACTGTTTCCTTGTATTCAAGCTACTTATCCCGTGAAGAACAAAAGGCTCTCGAGGAGGAAGGCTTGCAGCCAGAAAGCAACATTCTTGCGTTCAAGCTATAGAGTACAACAGAGAAAATGAGAGAAACTTCACCTCTTTTTGGGGATTTCCGATATAGAAGGATGCAGTTCATTCCAGGGGTATTTTCGCCCATGAGTAGAACAAGATTCTTATAGTCTGAGATCCCTAATAGGATCGACGCTTACCGATGTGACAACACGCTACAAATTATTTCGTATAAAATAGAATACCATCTGATAAAGACTATATAGTCGAGCAAGTTCGCAAGCACACAAGACCGCGGCTCGCACTGTGATCAAAATAAAATCGTGCAATTCTAGGTCCAACCAAAATTACGATTTTTGGCACACACTAATCCCTAAATTAATTTTTGGATTAATTTAAAATAACCGAATACCAGTTAACAATAGCAAGGAATCCCTTTAACCGGCGCACTTCACCCTATTTGCTCTTCCCCTTCCTTCCTTTCTTTCTTCTTCCTTTCTTTCTCCCTGACTTCGTCGGGTATCTGGGCAACCAGACCTGACAGACCTACTGAACTACGATACTTTAACAAACAGCGAAGGTCCCACGGACCACTCTGATGGACAATGTCGAATAGAAAAACCATGTGATAAGAAGGTGTCGGTAATACTTTGCCTGAAGAAAGCTTAAACAGACTATTTTCATCTAAATATTGGAAACAATTATTTCTCCTTTAGATAACAGATAAGGAGGTCACATCTGCTACTCTAGGTTCTTTTCTAACGCACTAGATACTTACTACACATACACTCACTCGTGCATTTACATAT